AAAAGTTTTCTATATTATACAAAACTATTAATCAAATAACTCAAATAACTATTAAAATTTTATTTTATAGTAATACAGAATTTTATAACATAAAAATCAATTTTCTACACTATTTATTTTTATTAAGAATACCTTTAAGCATCTAAATTAATAGGTTGGGTTAGAGTTTGGAGCCAGTTTTATTTTTCATATATAAAAACTGATTAAACCTAATTTAATATATAAAAAATAAAACCGGTTCAAACTCTAGGTTGGGTACAATTTTTAATAAGTAGAAAATAATTTAGCTAGCCAGGTGAATTAATTATTGTAATGAAAAAAAGATAGTTTCAACTATTTTTTTTGTAATAGAGTTGTAGCTGATTGGCTAAATTTAATGTTTATATTCATGATATGAATTTTCAAAACTATTATCAAGATTATTTCAATTAATCTTAGTACTTATATACGATCGTGATATCTTCTACTCAAATTAAGAGAGATGCTTAAAAGTATTCTAAATAACCAGTATAATTAAAATTAATACTTATCTTTGTTTTTTATTTTTTTCAAATTGATCAAGCAAATAATGACAATATAAGTTTTTATATTTTGATTTAAAACTTTTAATAATGCCAGTGTCTATAGGTTTGAGGTGTACTATAGTATGTGGCAAAAAAAAATATACAATGATATTGGTAAGATTAAGACTTTTTATAATTCTTCTTAGTTAACTTGAACGAGTAGAATTAGATCTTTAAGATCCTCAGGATCTTTCTCAGAACCTTTCTCGAAACCTTTCTCAGAGCTTTTCTCATTGGGTTCTTGGAGCTCTTTAGTTTCTTCTGAGTTATTTTTCAATAATTCCTCAATATTATTTTGAACTTTGGCTGTATTATTTGTTTTTGAAGTCATATGAGAAGCCGCATTATCAATGAGATAAATATAATGAAATAATCATTATATTAGTATCAACTACAATCGTTATATTTACTAAATTGTTAGGTTAGGGTAAATAGTAGAGGCTGTAGTTAGATAAATTATAAAATACAATCTAATGGTCACATGCATTAACCTTGGCTTGTCTCTGTAACAAGTTCGTTGAACATCTATCATTGCATGTAAGTGCCTTATAAAAGAATTAGTATTACGTTTTACTGTGGCTTATTATATTCTCTTTTCTTTAAAATCAATATTCACGTTGTATTTCAAATTCTCTAATTTTTGCAAAAGCATTTTGTAAATTATCCAAGAGTCACCATATTGCTTTATGTAACGAGTAATCCATCTATTTCACTAAATAATATTTTTTTTTGTTCACTACCTTTTGGTCTAGAATAGATTCAACCTCATATTTTGTTTCTTGAGTCCTGGGTATAAAGATCACAGATAGGGTATTGATCTGGTGAAGTTCTTTAATTCTTTATATAGTTTTAACAGGGAAACGTGGAATACAGAGTAGATTTTCTATTCGTTAAGCAAGTTAAGTTTGTAGGCTACTTTTGAAACTACTTTAATAATTAAGTAAAGTCCTATATATTTAGATGTTAGTTTCTTTGTAGGTCTCTGTTTGTCAGT